ATATGGATAAACGGAAAGGAAACGACTCTTCTATAAGTGCTTCCACACACGGTGGACACTAGTAATCAGGTAACTCTTAGATTTCTGGGTAAGAATCATTGATCCTCATAAACAGTATCGGTTACGATCATTGATTCCAGAAATCTCGAGAGATCTACCGTCCCGTAAAGGACGTTGGAACGGCTTCCGCGCTCCAGCGAAGCATTTGTAGACAGGAACGATAATCGTTCTTCTCCCTTGAGTACTCAAGTTTTTTATTTACGGGTTGCAACCATTATTCAATTATTCCTTCGTATTATTTCACTATGGCCAAGTAAAGTAAAATATTTAAGATTACGACACGTTTAATGCTATTTTCTGTGATAGTTATTTCACATATATTTTGATACATATTGCGAAGTGATTCAATTGTTTAATCAAGCGAACGAATGCATAAAAAGTTTACGATAAGATATATATTGCCTCAATTGTTTTTGAACAAGATTCGCCATAAAGTTAACGTTCATTTATTTGAAATTGTATTCAACGGTGTGACACACCGAATGTTGATTCATGTGAAATACTTAAAGTTTTCGTTGCGAATCGTTGTGAATTAATGTGTTATTTAAGGTTATTATTTAACGCATTATTCACTTATAAATATTTATATATAAGATTGTTTTGGTTCATTACTAATTATAATATCAGCTTCTTGTTATGTCTAATAGTCTTTTCAGTGATTAAATAATTGGAAGATATTTTCAAGTTATCATATCATAGTGATTCTTTAACTTTAATTACCTTGTGAAATATTGTTATTTTACGTTCCAAGTTTCAAACGGAAATTATACGTTTGACTAATGACTTATATGTTCTCTTCATTGAACGGACTATTACAATGTGAATTATATATATTATTTCTTGATTCATGAGATTTTTGAATTTTGTCATAATGACTTATGAATGTGATTAAATTTGTTCTGTTATTTTCTCTAAATATATTATATATTTTGTCAACAATTAAAATCAGTGTTTCCTTCACCGCCATAGCCCACGATCCATACTGGTCGTGTACACGCTGTGACTTTGCTAAATATATAAAATGAATCTGTTTGGGACCATTTATCAATATAAGACATTATCACCAAGTGCGGCATAAGTCTGAAAGTCATGAAACAATAAGATCCTTGAAATTTATTTAAGTTCTGCACAATAGGTCCATCCTTTCTAAATTAGCCGTTATTTTCTTGAAGTTATTCTATTCTTACGTCAAGCTATTCTATTTCATGAGAATCAATTATGACAATCGGAAAGTCCGTTGTCAAAAAAATACAAGGACGAAGCGATCCAGAGATACGAGCAAGAATCGGCGGTTTTTGTCTCGCTCGCGCCGAAGAAGCGGGAATGCGCAGATACGATAAGATTATAATGAACCGAGCATGATTTTCGCGCTCTTCACCCCTTCTATCCCGGCACACGTGACAAATGAGCGTTTTGCCAAGGAGAACGCGCATTTCGCCGATAATAACATGTCGGCGAGTATGCAGAGGGATGTGCGTAATTACGGGTGACGCGACCTACGACAGAATCGTCCGTGGATGCTTCTGCTGAAACGAGCATATGATGTATTCACAACCGCGCGCAACTTTAACCCTTTCTCGAATACCAGCGGCAATTTCCCTATTGCGAAAATATGTACATAAATTGTGGAAAGATATCTCTTTTTCAATTTACTAGATTGTGTTGACGAAATAATCTATTTCAAATAAACTTTGATATTCTTTAAAAGGAGCATTTTTGCCTGCGAGAGCAAAAACTTTAGGCAATATTTTACTAAAATAGGTCAAAGCGTGACGGTGATGTAGTGTTGAGAAAACTATCGAAAAGTATCGAACCACTCTATACATTGTCACTCTAAAAGTAAACTTTGTCTTTGATCGAATTGAATTATGGACACGTCCTCGCAAATTTTCCGACACGCTTTGCGATCTGCATAAATGTGGCCGGTGAGCGCGTTTTATTCTGTCGGTGCGAGAGATATACGGCGGGAAGGTGGGCGCGGAAGGCGACTTTACGACTACGCGCGCGCGTCGATAGATACGATGAATAGAGAGGGATTTTCTCGGCGAGGATCGGACTTCGATCTGCTTTCACGAGGTCGACGTTAGAAAGCCGCGCGCGCGTAACGCGCGCTCGTCCGGGACCGATTCTTCGCCGATAGCGCGAGCACGATGCTGAAAGATGGTCCGCCAGTTACTTCTGCTGGCGCGTACACCGATGCGCGATTACACTCGCACCTAATTCGCTACGCAAATACGCCATGGACCGCGAAAATGGAACTAAAAAAATCAGAAGAGAAAGATCTCAACCCGCGCGCACGGGATTCCACCCCTCTCAGAGATTCGTTGCTTCTCCCTCCTTCTCTTTTACTTTGCCACTCGATCCACCTACGCAAGTGTGCGCGCAGCCACCCACGCTGCGCACAAGCGTGCGGAGATCGTGACGATTCCCACGGAAAGAGGCGCGCGCGAGTTCAAATTATCTTCATCCGCCACGGAAAGCGTCACGTTCGGGCTATCTCCGAAGAAAAGGGTCGGTGTAATCCGAAGAATTCGAATCGGTCTAAGGCCGCGTGGCTCGTATCTCTCAAAATTCTCCAAGGAAAACGCTCGGGCTAGAGCGATTAAACGCGTCGATTTCGTTGGATCCACATACGCGGCGCGTTCGGAGCCCACGAACGAGGAACGAATCCCTCCCTGAGCAGGGTCGCATCGTGCGACGTAGCCCGAGGCTGTCCTCTCTCGCTGGGTGCCCATTTTTCACGAGGTCTCTCTCTCCCTCCTCGTGTTCCTCCCTCCTGCCTCTTTCTCTCCCTCCCTTTGACTCCCTGACTCCCTCCTTTTTTTCATCTTTTAATTCCATCTTCTTCTTTTTCTCCTTTTAATCTCCCTTCGTGCGCGTAGCCAACGCCCGTTCTCTTCGTCGCTCGTACGGCTTCTCCTTTTCTTCTCCTCCTTCTCCTCCTCCTCTTCCTCTGTTTCTCTCTCTCTCTCTCTCCCTCTCTTCATCTTTCCTTCTCTTCGTCTCATCACGCACACGCCCTCCTCTTCCATCCTCCCTCCCTCCACAACATTCCCGCCTCGTATCTCTCGCTCTTTCGATCCCGAGTCCATCTCCGTTCGCGCGACTACGCCAGCAGCACCAGCAGCAGCTTCGCTCTCTTCGGCATCTGGCGTCCAGCATAGACGTCTCTTACCGCGTGCCCCGTATAAGAGAGAATCAATCGGACATACATATATGAACGTACTTCTTTTCTCCGTCCCACCATCGGCCGATCTCCCTCGTGGATATCCTTCTCGCAATGGCGCGGTAGAAAGAAAGGAGGAAGAGACGCGCGAGACGATATAGAGCTCTCCTCTCCATAAAGAAGAAGCTCTTTTTCTCTTTCTTTCTCTTTCTCTCTCTTTCATTCGGCGAGAGAGAGAGATGAGAGGAAAGAGTTTGGTTGTGTATGCGTGTGCGCGCGTCTGTCTCGCGATGACTCGGGAAGATGCCTCGATCATCTAAGGCGGATAGTTTCAGGCAGAGGCTTTCTTTATAGCGTGCGTAGCGATAAGCCGAATAAAAAAGATATTGCAAAATAAAAATTTAAATAGATATATCTAAGGATGCCTTTCCGTCCGATAATAGGCATCTGCCATCGGCCTATTTAGCGCGTACATTCGGCGAGATGACTTTACGTCCTTCTATTAGATATCCCTTTCGGATACAGTTTGGTATGTGGATATCCTTCTCAAGGTGGCGAGATAAAGAGCGAGCGTTATAAAATCGAAGCGAGGAGGGTAAAGGGGAAAGAGATGGAAGGCGGAGGCCAGAGCTCGGATACGATAATCTTACATGTGCGTGTCCTCCTTCTCGTTCCTATCGCAGTCCTCCCCACGGCTACCCTTCTCAAGGTAGTAAAGCCGAAGCGGGACAGAGCTACGAAAATGAAATCCGAAGTAAGAAGGACGCCGAGACGCCGGCGATAACGTACGTCTGCGCAGTCGTCTTCGTCCCGCTTAAGGATCTTCGACCGCGTGTATCCTTCTCAAGTTAGCAAGGCGGCTCGAAGCTGGAACCAGCGAGAGAACGGAAAAGAAAGAGAGAGAGAAAGAGAGAGAGAAGAAGAGGAGGCAGAGGGAAAGAGGGCAGAAGAAAGAGAGAGCCAGAAAGACGGTGGAGCTGAACGAAGAGAAATGATAATGCACGTGTGCGTACACCGCGATCGTCTACGTTCCTCCCGTTACAACTCTCGTCAGGTATCTCTCTCGCAGATGATTGAACGGAGAGAGGGAGATGAAGAAGCGACGCGTTAGAGAGAGATGACTGTAGAAACACGATAATGCCGGGTGGCCAGGATCCCGCCTTGTTGATGATTCGATGTTCTGTTTGTATCTGTGCAACTCGTCGCGGAGACGATAGTTCCGTCCTGGTCACACTCGTCGGCGAGACCCATGAGACCGTCCTTGTCGCGTTAGCTACCTGCGTAACCCCACTGCCGCGCCTCTCCTACCTGCGCCTACAATATCCATCTGTCTTTCTCTCCCTCTCTCTCTATCTCTCTCTCGGCAGTGTCTCTTATCCACTTGTACTTTGCGATCGTCTCGAAGCTCTCACTCTCACCGTCCCTCTCGGGAGAATACGTGGAGCGAAGGAGAGAGAAAAGATGGCTCAGAGGAGCTTGAGAGTCCTCTACCATTCTCTTCATCTCTCTCTCTTTCTCCACCAGAAGTGGGAGGGCAAAGAAACGGTGAACGGAAGAAAGAGAAAGAGAAATAAAAAAAGCAAACGCCGAAGGGAGATAGTCTCGAAGGGAAGGCGTTATGCGGTCCGCAGGTAAACGGAAGAGCGAGAGTGAGGAGAGGAGGACGAGGCTCAGGAGCGAGGGAGGCTGAAAGGCCGTAGACGGAAAACATGCGAATGAGAACGAGTGGGAGAGAGAAAGAGACAGGGGGCAGGAGGTAGAGAGACGCGCGAGCGTGTGTGAGACGCGAATGGAAGGGAGGGGGGGGGATCCGAAGCACGGAGCTAAGAGCGTGATGCTGGGAGGCGGCGGCGGCGACGGCCATATTGCCGTATCTCGAGAGGAAAGAACGATCCGAGACAGCACCGTGAAGCTGCTGGGTTTGGTGGACCAACCCAAAGTTTTAAAGGTTAAAATACTACCTGCTGCTTCAGACGGAGTTTTAGTGAAGCCTAGTCTCTTTTATTAAAAACCTTCGAATTCCGGCAGGATCTTTTGTTTAGTTTATATAGTTCGGTTCCCAAGTTTCCAAGTTTCCGAGTGATTGTATGCGACGGTAACGTGCGCCGTCGTCACCGTTGTCGCGCGCGTGAACGTGCGAGTGTGTGTCAAGCCGGTGCGCGATTATGCGATTGAAAGTATAAACAAGATACGGACAAGTCCAACAGGACCCTAACGAACAAATTCGTAGACGATCGAACAGTACGCTTGAAAGAAACCGAAACCAGTGCAGAACGACCGAATGTGACATTCGAGACTCGGAGAAATGTCAACGTAATAATGTGCGCGTAGTGAATCGCGGTTGTGATATCAGGTGAACAGACGACGTCGCTCAAGGTAGAGCTTCTTACCGAAATATTTCGTAGAACCAACAGCTTCACCGGTGAAGAACGAGAGTCAACCAAGCGAAGAACCGCGGGCCCCCGGCGAAGGGTGCCCCCGAGAGAAGAGTGGTCCCAACATCAACGAATTCACCAAGACGACGGACGCCTCGGTCTATGGAGAAGGTGGTGACACTATCATCCGTTGAGATGTGATCCAGAACATAGGAGGGACACTCAGTAGTTTGTAGTTGGTCCCCACCTCCCCCCCTCTATCACCCCACCACCCCACTAGCCCCCTCGTGACTTCTACCACCTACTCTACCTCCCCCTCTCGTCTCCCCTCGTACACATGCACGTGTGATAAACCACCTCACCGATAAAGCAACCATCACCGGATCAGCCGGACTTTTGATTGCGCCGGCTGCTGTACCGCTCAACGACACTTCTCCCTCCCTTCTATTACGATCCCAATGAGTGAGTATTGTCTTCACATCGTTTTATTACGATAGTCTAGGCCTTACTATAGCGCACGGCTTCGTCAATAGCTGGAGGCTACCTGCGCGATGACGCACAGGTGACGCGCAGGTGACCTACCGATGAGCAAGTGAGGCCCGCGAAGATGTGCGGCCCATGTGAGATTTACCGCGCGATATCTTGCCGGTGAAGTGCTTTGGTTATCCTCTTTTTGGTTATTTGCAGTCGTATGTCGCTTATCAACATTTTAACGCGTTTTACCTTTTACAATATTGCGATACACGCTATGGCTATTAGAGAGATAGCAAGAATTCCTAGATAAATTCTTTACTGAAGATATTTCATAGAAATGTAAGAATAAGCATGCATATATTTGCAGAACTTATTCATGTGACTATACTATTTTTCAGCAAACAGAAAGGCTCATTAATAAATGATTTTTATAATAACACAACTTCGTTTTATTTCATCATTGTACTCGAATTTAAAGCATAAACTAATAGTTAAAATTAACAAAAAAATATATGCATACTCATCGCTACAAATATAATCAGAATCGCAGTTACTTTTTTCATAATTTAATTCTCTTTAGTATTATATAAATATATTTAATACATATATACATGTGAATAAGTTACTTAGAAAATTGTCGTTATTGCATCTTTTTTTTCAGCAACATGCTCTAATCGTTTTACTTAGAAACTATTGAGACATACTTTACACAAATCCTTGCATTTTAAAATTTTACAAAAGTCTACAAAACTTATTTATTATCCCAAATCCAATTTCACTACTCCAGCAAGTGTAGGTCATTCGGCAAAAGCCATACAAAAATTCAAAAGAAAATAATAGACCAATCACCACGGTCAACCATAAGAAAGAAGGTTTTAGAACCAAACTGTAGTTTAAAAATCGTTACGATACGTTATGGTCCATTATGGTACGTTCTTTACGTACCGTACCACAGGTAAAAGAAGTATATCCTTTCGTATTATATTAAATTCCATTTCCGAGGCTCGACGTCCACACCGTACCCAAAGGGAATCATCTGGAAACTCTCACTAGAATCTCTAGAATTTCACTCTCAATACACTTTAACGGCAATTGCAGCCGTTGCAGCTGCGCGCCATGGACGATTCTAACCGGCCGAATCGCGGTCGCCGCGACTGCAACACCGCCGCGATGCACATCGCCGTGATGGCAGGTCTAGAATCTATTGGCGGCAGGTGCAACGCACGATCGAGGCGTCTGGCCTCTGATAGACACATCGCCTTCGCGCGACTCGTCGACAGAGGAAGACGCTTCCTCCTCTTTGTACGACTCGACGGAGTCCTCCGTTCTCCGGAGGCATCGTCCACTGACGCGAGGCGAGGGCGTACAGGTACTTGAAATACAAACGGACCCACGGTGGTGGGTCCAATCTGATGCAGGGTTCCCTTTGAGAATCAGGTTAGACCGGCTCCTCTGAACCTGCTTCTCTGGCTTCTCGTCTCCGGTTCGCGGTTGTATACCGGCCCCGTGCGTACCTACTCCTTCTCCCCGGTCGCCCCAATCTCCTTCTTCCGCGTAGTAGGTAGATACCTACCTACCTACTTCCCGCCGCCACCCTCTTCGACGTATCTCTCTGTTCCTCTCCGTCTCTCTCTCTATCTTTCTAACAACCAGTCTTGTTCCTTCCTCGCGAACATCACCGCGTCTCCATTATTGACGACGCGTGGTCCAAGAAAGAGAAAGAGACAGGAAGCTGGTGAGAGAGAGAGATGGTGAGAACCAGCACCGTCTTGTGTGTTCACTCTCGATGGTCCGGCTTCCTCGTTACGTCTATTATTATACCTGTCTATCCGTCAGAGCAGTGCCCGCGAGCTGAATTCCAGTTTTACGCGCGCGCCCTCCTCCACGCGCGCGCTCACGCGCGCTTACTCCGCCGTAGTAGTAGGAGCAGATGGGCGAGTCGGAGAGAAGAGCAAACCGACTGGTTTTGCTAACCATCCACCTGGACGAGACCGCGCGCGAGGACGTAGAATTCGCGGTGTCAGACTGGTTGACCGACATTCGCGCGGATCCTCGCCCGGCGATAAGTGAATAACGCCGAACCTGCTCGCTCATTCGCGCGCGGGTTCCGGTTTCCCAATCGCGGGAGTACGTGTCCCGCGTGCGTGACGCTTCTCCTTCTCCTGGCGAGCCACGTGGCGAAACCGAGACGCGGATTCTCCGGTTCTGCTTGCTATGCGAGGAAAACATAGGGTTACCTGTTTACACTTGCATTTCACCCTAACAGTCGTCGATTGCCAGTTCATCTCATTCTTTACGCTTACGTTAAATGCACACAATTAGATTACTCGTGAACAGACAAATAGAAGGAAATCTATTTATAACGAGTCATCAGCGGCTGTAAATTATTTAATGTTGAAGATGAATAATATGTCGGTGATAAACCTTAAGCACCTTTCTTTCTATTTCTTGCAGATTTTTACCGCCCGCTGTTCTTCAAACAACGTGCCATACAACCCTCAGCAACCTGTGATATAATACTCGATGCCTAAATATTTACATAGACGTAGACATCTAGTCGAAGACTAGATCAGGCTGAAGGGTTTCACCGTCAAAAGAGAACTGCGAGTCCTAAGACAACGAGAATTCAGCCGACCACGCGTTTTAAGCGGATTTAGCAGTACGAAGAGAGAAAAGAGAAACGGAAGACGGCGCCGGAGAATGTCGACGTGCACCGACGAGGCCGATAATGCACCCTGCACTCTGTCTCCGGTCAGTGACAAACCCTTACTTTCGGATAATAAAACTTAGTGCCAAATATTATTACATGGTACATCTATTATTAAATAAAATTGTCTGATTATGAGAATATTTCCATAAAGTAATGGTGTAAGCTCAATACAGAGGCGAATTAAAATTAGACAATCTTATTTTATGTTAAACGATATACAAAAATTAAATAGGCGACGTAGTCGGCAATTTAAGATCTGTAGAAAATTTATAATTTTTCTGACTAATATTTTATTTTTGTGACATAAATGGAGACTAATTAAACGTCTATTTCTATTCTAATCTTTAAAAGGATTTAAAAAGAATATAAAGAGATGTGTGCGTGTGTTTACTTTTTTATTACGCAAACTCCAAAGATTCCAACACTTCATAACTAAAATAGTAACACAATGACATAATCCACCACATAGATTATCGTTTCATCTACCTGTTCCCTTTTTCTTTTATAAAATCGTGACCTTTTTCCTCACTTATTATTCTTTTACTCGCACCACCTTTCTCTGTTTATCCCGACAGCACCCTGTTGCGCGAAATAATGAGGGTAGACCGCTGGATTATTAACAATCATGAAGAGATTTTTTGAGAAAAGTCCCGAGACGCCAAGATTTCTGAATGATGTACGAGTCTGTATACGAAACGAAAATCGGCTTTTAATGACTTAAGGTCTTTGTGGATTTTTGATTTTACGGTTTAAAAGCGAGCATTGAACACCTCGAAAATACAAAATTCTTTGAAAATAGTATGGATCAGAAAGAATTAGCTTTAAAATCAATTTAAAGTTAAAAAAAATTTTTTTGCGAAATTTTTCCTAAAAGAAACAATGATAAACCGAGTATTCTAAAGTACTATATTCGTATTTTATTATTCAATTTACTTGTTTTAAATTGCTAAGATTTCTGTTATAGCCGGCGTTTCATTAATAACGCGAAATCTTTTATAGTTCGAATTCCTCAATAATAGAAATCTGTTGAACAACTGTTTAAAAAATTTGATACGGTTTTTGCTTTTGATTGTAATATTTTATGATACAAGCTCATTTCCGATGCAATAAGACAACTTTCGAAAGCAGAAGAGCGTGTGCGTTTTCATGAAAATTTAATTCAAATCGCCGCGGGTAGCTTCGAGTTTTTGTAACTTCAAAGAGCCTCCGTCGTACGAAAGTGAAATGCATTGATCAACCCCATTACTCGCGATACGACGCTCTACAATGAGAAGCATGAGTATGGCACGTAAGCCGTTCTCCAAGAATCTTAATAGCTCGACGGGTTATGGATAAATCCCCGCGGGCACATTATGGGCCTATTTTGGCCCGGATTGCGTGTGATTTGCGGCCTCTATGACGCAGATTGAATATTTTAAAACTAAAGAGCGTCCAGCTTCTCGACTTGTGTTGTTTTATCCGACTATAAAAAGAATATAAAGATCGCAATTAAACGATACAGCAACTTAAAAATTGACCAATAAAACAAAACTTCTTCTTTCTCTTCCCTTCTCTCTCCAATAAGATAATCCTAATTATAAAGATGAAAAAGATAGCCACGCAATGATTTGTGTAATATTATTATTGCGCCAATAATGTGCAAATAGCACAAAAAATCAGGAAAAAAAGTTTTTGCAGTAAGATAAAACGTTTAAGCGAGGAAAATCACGAGGATTTAAGATACCATCAGTGGACACTATACGAAGATTAATAAAAAAGTCATTTGCATTTTGCTCTCCTTAAACGTCGCGTGTAAATATGCGCGCATAAATCTCGTAGAAAGACGAAAATAAGGACGACCCGTTTGGCACCTGCGGCTGGCGCCTTTTAATACGCCGGTTAAATCTGTTTACGACAAGCATCGCAAGTGCACAAGCATACCGGGTGTTCAAGTAGCCGTGTAAATATTATCGCGCTTCCGGATCGAAAAAGAGAACGTGCGCTTCTTCATCGGTGACGTGAATGCCCGCGTCTGTTTTCCGTTATTTGTGGATTTATATATACGCGCCGATGTCTCTGCGGAGACTTCGACATCCTCACATCGTAGACGCGAACGATACGTTAATCGTCCATTCGTCTCTTCGTATACGTGATGGGATCTCTACCTATCTACCTGCGGACAGGACTGGACGAAGGAAGAGATTCGCTGTGCGCAGTGATGACTCTTCAGATTTCTCGTACCTGATGGCCAAACGAAGGGAACCCTCGTCGATGATCGCGCCGTTCATTATGGAGATAAGAAGTAAAGGCTCTTTAATAGAATTCCGAGCGACTGGTCATTTTGTATCTTCATTAACTTTTTCGTTAACCGATTCATTATTGCATGGTAGGTAAAAGAAAAAAAAAGAGAGACAAGGAAAGTCCCTGTAATTGGCGCACGCAAATCTTTTCTCGATTCAAATGACTCATACCAATCACAAAAACGAGATTGAAAGCGTGCAAGAAAAATGTATCGAAAATAAGCATGCGCACACACACACGCACACACACACCGGCGCGCCGAAATATTTTGCTTGCGAAATAAACTCGCGGCAAAAAGGGGAGCGCCTGATGAATGGATGATAAGCGATAACCAGCGATGACGTTAATTAAATAAGCCGTGCGCGCGGAACGCGCGCAAGATTAATAAACTTAAGCCAGATATTTTGATCCTCCGCGTATATCAGTCGTTTGCGAAATACTCAATATCTAAGTTATATAAAAGATTGGAGTACAGCTGCGGCAATGTTATTCGAGCCGCGTCACTGTACGATTATCGAAGGCGATAAAACGAGCCATATCGGGACATTCGATGAACACTGAACAGTATAATGCAAGAGAAAAATTTCACTGAAACTACGATCGCTGTAATTTTTGTCGCAATTAACGCACTGAAGTTAAGACTGGCGTTTCTTACGCGTGCAACTGAGAGCATTAACATCATAAAGTAGTGGAAAAAAAAGTTGCTTTACGAGCTGTTGTCTAGACGCATCACGATAGCACAAACGACACAGTCTGCAGCTCGCGGTTTAAAAGTCTCGACTCTTTATCGTTTTCTGGAAAGAAAATATCTTTACGCTTGTTGGATTTTTAATTTATTCTGAGTCTATCAAGTTTTATTTGTTAATTCAGTTAACGGTTGATGAATCACTAACGGAACGCCAATGTATTGTAAGTATTGTAACCCGAAGACCAATAGATATCAGCAATCCTCGCTAGAGGTAATGCAACGAGCGATAATGTTTACGATTATAAAAAGCGAATCGTTAGGATATTCCGGCCGTTACGGCAAACGGACGAGGAATCGTACCCCTAAGACACGTACGTGTATACCGCGAAAGAAAAGCATCTAACGATTCCACGTATCTACATCCGCGTTGCACGCAGCTGCGTACCGCGTCGCGATCGGCAATAACTGCACGTTGCAAGGGGGATGTATACGCGCGCGAATCGCAGCCTACGGCGCGGCGGACGGGTAAGAAACGAGAAAGACGTTCGAGTATCCGCGAGTTTTAGCCATGGACGGACGGACGGGGGCCATTCGACCGACAGACACGTTGGACTACTGTCCGGCATGAACTCTCACGAGCGCAGAGACCGGCCGGCCAATTAACTGTTATTATGAAGGACTTCTTGCGTGTAAAGAGGACGCGCAGCATCCTAAACGAGCTGACCGCGCGACGGCGATCCGTAGGATTCGCGGTAGTCATTTCGAGCTACTCGCGAAATCGCGATCGTTTGTCTTGTTCGGAAGTTTTGTCGCGATTGGATAACATTCGGGCGATACGTGAGAAACGGCCGTCCTTGTTTCTTGTGTAAAATAAATTTAATGATAGCGTTTCTCGTTATCATTAAAGGACGAGTGATACAATTGTAAAAATGTAGGTACGTATAAAAAAAATTTCGTTGTTGTTCTTATTCAGATCGTGATGTACCTATAGCTAACAGTTCAATAAACTCAGATTTAATCGTATCGTTTAAATAAATCATCTTTAATGAATTACTCCAATCGCGCTACAAGATGCTGATCAACGAATTAGATCAACGGATTCGTGTAATGACAGATTAAATGTAAGTCGATAAATACAGCGATAACTTGCAAGGCAATACCGGGGGATCGTAAAATATCTATACTTTTACGCTGGACGTCCGCTGCCATTTACATCTCCGTTGTTGGTTGTCCGTACGCGAAACGCAATAAAAACGAATAGATACACGCGCGGTTCCGGTTCCAGCGGATCACCGTTGAACGGGGGGCTGCGCGTTCGATCCCGCTTGCCTTGCGAGCGCGATAAATTTCATCGACTGACGTGGGATTAGATTTCGAATGAAGTCGGTACACGGCCGAGTATTCGCATCGCGGAGTACTTAATGTCGTGTAACGACCGCGGGAGGTTCGTGTCGCGGTCGCGGACTCGCCGCGGGTCGGGCTGATTAATTGTCCCCACAGCCGGCGTATCTGGGACCCCTTGACACCGCCGATGGAGCGTGTCGCGGCGGTGCGATGTCAAGGATAGCGCCTCAGTAGCTCGACGACTTTAAGTAATGAATCCGCAGAGATTCCTAACGACATCGGGGAATTACGGGGAAACGCGCGTCGCGGCGCGCGGCGGTCGAAATTCGCGAAACCGCAAAACCGCTCGCGGCGAGTTGACGTTTTTATGACGTTCGCGCGATTACCGTTACATCAAAACCGTTTCGTCCATTAGACGCTCACGACACAATGCCTGATGTCTATGAGTCTTGTTTTTAAGACCTATAAAGAATTTACTGGCACGGTAAAATATGAAAATAAAATTGAGTTATAACGCTCCTCATATTTCTGCATGGTTCTTAAAAACGTCGATATTTCGAGAAGAATTAGCAATAAATAATAAGATAAAAGCATATTGTACCATTACAAGAAAATTTTAGATATTAACGATTAATAAAACATACATAGGTGTGTGGTCACACACGTTTTTTATTTAATAATACAATAGTTATTTATGTTCAAATAAAAGTGTCCATCGGTATTGTGCTGATATCAGAGATGCAATGAGAATTTATACAATATCTGTAATTACATTACGTAATCGGAATTAACGTTAATACGATGCATTTAATTTAAAATTATGCATATGCAGATAAAATATACGAATAACGTAAGCGTAGTTAAGAAAAGCCTCCAAAAAATAAAATCATAAAGCAGTTCTGCGCGTAAAAAGCAGGCAAAAGGCGTAAAATTACGATGTTATTAATAATAAGTTTGTCACATCTGTACGGCAGAAAGTCATAATCGCGAGATAAACATTGTTACCTTGGCTCGTGGAGACACGTGTGGTCTATTCAGAGAGCTCGCGTTCGTCCATTAACGATTTTACCCGTACCTACCAACCGTATTTCATCGTGCTAATCCTCGCGCTTAATCGTAGAATCGCGATTATTCATCAGCGGGTGAATTTACGACGGTCAACACGAGGAAATATAGGAACCGGTGACACTCGGGATTAAGTCCCGCGCACACCGTAGAAAATGAGCAAAGGGGGGAAAAAAGATACTTTCCGAGGAGACGAGGAGACAGAGAAAGAGAGGAAAAAGAGTGTATTTTTGTGCTTAGGCTAACGGCGTGCGTAATTCATGCGCACCTCCACGCGCGAGGTGCCTGAGCACTAAGAGGATGATTCATAATATTGTTAATTATGTTAATTGACGGAACCCATCGCTGCGACTGCAGGCTGCTGCAATATGCACGGGCCTTAATAGCATTGCCACGTCGCTCGCTGTCACGTTACGAATGATGCCGCGGTGACTGTGTGGCATCGGGCAGCTCTCGAGGTCTCGGAGGTTTTGCCAGGAAAAAAGAAAAGAAAGGAGAGAGAAAGAGAAGGAAAGAGAGAGAGAGAGACTTCGCGCCATAACTTATGTTACTGGCTAGAAAGCATGATAATCCGGCGACACGTGGGAAATTCCAAACGACGTCATTACTGTACCGTATTCTTATTCATGCGGGTCGCAGGGGTTCCCGTGCGCGCCAACTTCGGGAATACTAGGATATAAGTGCATCAGTAAAGTGACCGTCGCCGTTTAACTGACCATTAAGTATACTTATGTAGGATATCTGTTTTACGAGTAATATATTTCCAGTAATGGTTTCAGTAAAATCTAAAGAGACTTCCCTTCGCACGACGTTCGACCACTAAAACTTCACTAAAACTCTCGCAGGGAATCTGATGTATATTTTTGCAATTTTATCGAACATTAACCCGTAAAGAAAATATCTCCCAGACACATTGGAATATTATTTCGTACGATAATAAATGTGTAACGAAGGGAATATTTTTATTCGGGAGAAAAGAAAATGAAATTATTCAACCGGTAATCTGCCGGTGCGTCTAACTTAATTCGTGGCTCACCTTTCCGCGTGACTGTCTTTCGGAGAGCTCTCGGTGAAAACGTATCACGTAACGCGCGAACTTCGGGGGGATAATATAAATCGCGGCAAATAAAACGCTCGTAGAGGCAATTAAGTAATACCGATGTCGCGCGAGACTGAATTACTAGCTTCTCTCGGAAATGAAAGCTACCATTGCCAATCCTTCCTGAATATCGTGACGAAAACGGCCGACAGCCTCGCGATGGCGATCGTCTCTCGTGGTAAGCCGTGAGTGGACCTAGATCCTGCCCGTATGATCGTTTGATCTTTGAATACACTGTAAGAATTTCTCGGCGCGCGTGTTACAGGCAACGAGCGTACGGACGATTAATTATGACGAGGAAGATGTCTGACAGTACGAAATGCCTCGCGCTTCGGACCGCGCGCGAAGATATTAATATAATTTCTATCGCGGAGTTATTATAGCGTTCGAAAATGTTGTAGACTGTTGCAACATACGCATGGCGTTGCCCAGGACTCCGAGCGCGCTCGGGCGTATAAATCCCAATGTCGTAAACCACGCGCCTGTTAATGGCGATTAATAAATTAACGCCGGCCGCGCGCTGTGTTTTAATTCCGTTACCATTGTATTGGTAAATAATCTAGCCTGTGCCCATACGACCGATGACAAACGCGCTATTTCGGTAAAAAGAAAAAAACGGAGCGCGATTGGTATTGTGCAAAGATCAAGGTGTCTCGTTGTTAATACTCGATGTAATGCGACCATAATACCTCCGCTCGATTATGGAGCATGATTTCACAATAGCGTTCTTTTCTTTTATTTTAATCTGGCGCGATAAAAAAATTAATGCTATAAATACATCTATCGTGATACTGAAATCGTTATATACGATCGTTGCACGTAGAACATTGGAATAATATCTCGACCAACAATCGTGATTATGCATCCAACCGTCTATTCGACAAATCGAAATGGTGATATTGCAGTCGTTGCGATAACGCCGCGACAATGACCCTACCTATCTACGTTTACAGGTGCAGGAGGCACCAGTCTCGCCGGCGTCCTCCTCTCTGAGCAACCAAAATCAAAACGAGAGCGAGCAGGTCCTGCTGGCGACCATGCAGCCGGTGAACGTGCTCGATCTGCACGAACCACCGGCCGTGCACACGCTCCACCACAAGTACCATCATCACCATCGTCACCATCACCATCACCATCATCATCACCATCAGCAACAGCAGCAGCAACATATCCAGGACAACGATTCGGATGACGTGCAGCAACGTGCCGCGGCCGCGGACGACCCTGACGGCCGCGTGACTCCCGACGCCGAGGCGGCCGCCGCCGCCGCTGCCGCGGGCAACAACGCGCTCGGCGTCGGCGAGCACAAGATGATCGACCTGATCTACAACGACGGGCAGAAAACGGTCATGTATACCCACGACAAGGAGATCATCTACGAGAACGAGCACGCGGACCGCGTGCAGGTGGTCGAGTACCCGCCGCCACCGCCGTCACCGTCGCCGCCGTCGGCCGGCGTCACGCGGACGACGGGCCTGCTGCCACCGACCTGCGTCACTCCGAGATCCGCCGCCACGGCTGCCGCCGCGACCGCCCTGCATCTGCACCACTATCCGCAGCTGCAGTTGCAGCACGAGGACGACCTGCCGCCGACGGTGCGCCACGCCGTCAACGCGACCGTGCCGAATTGCGGCGCCGCGACAACCACGACGACGGTGCTCGTGCTGTCGGAGCTCGTCGCGGCCGATCCGGCTACCGCCGGTGCAGCTGCAGCCGCGCAACAACTGACACTCACCGCCGCCGCTGCCGCAGCGTCCTTTCGCGCTGGGTAAGTCACGCTTTTCCGCTACGTTTCTCGAATTTTCCTCCTATCCGCTCGACTTGTTCGCCAACCGATCTTTCGATCTCGCATGCTGCTGTCCTCTCACTCTCAGATTCAGATAACCTGAATCAATACGACTGTTCTTACAAAGTAAAAAGTATACGCCTGCATCATAGATTCCGCGAAATCATTAAATATTTATATCATACAATGCTAAACAGCAGGCTATTGACTTGATTGAGGGATTAATCGGAATGATGCCAGTGTAAACAGAATTTTTACCTAATGGAAAGGAGAAGCGTATATATGATAACATAATTTAGCAAAGAATTTTCGTATTATATATCATCTCGTAGCCTGATTTATTCGAAAATTTCTTGAATAATCATGTGCGATTGAGTATTATATGTTTACGTCGCAAGTCCCACGCGCATATTTCACATATATAATTAAATCTATCCGTGTCACTGTCGTTGTGAATGACGGTGTATTCGAGACAGGTTGTAATTCATCCTTTCTTTGATTATTGACTCACAATGCCTCTTGCGGTTTGTTCTATCCGTATAGCAGATGCGACCGCAACGTTACGAACGAAAGTCGGTGTGGGAACTTCGCTGTTAATGTTTTTCATTAACACGTATCTTCGGTATGTTCACAAAGTGTGTCAAAAATATTGCTATGTACTGTGACTACATACGTTCGCGCATGAGATTAGGAATATATTATGTTGCAATGCAAACTGATTGATATCGTGTCACTAGTTGCGCTATAAAGATAACAGCAAGTAAAAAAGATTAATGAGAATGAATCACGTTTGTTTGTAACGTTGCGAAAGGCATTGGGAGAGAAAAAGGCGTGATTGCCGGATACGCATACTTTCCTTCTGTCTCGAGATTGCCTGGGGATACGCAAAGTGATAATATATTAAAACGAGAGGAGGACCCGAAGAGACGCGGCAAAGGTCATAACGAAAAAATGGAGGGATAAGCTAAATGTCAGCTTCGGAGCTTGTTACAGGCTCACAAATGAATGTAGAGATTCAGTGCTTCGTTAGCGCCTGTATTTACGAGAGTGCGACCGAAACGAGAGTAATAATTGCGAACTTTTACGAGTTACGCGCAAAGCGATTCCATTTCCATTCGTAAAGGAACTGGAAGGTCGGAAACTTACAGAAGTAATTCAACCTATTCTTGAAAATAAGCACGTGTGATTAGATTATGTCCATTTCTACCAATGTAGATTAACTTTAATCGCGGTTTAACTTACTCTTTTCATTTTTTTTCTAGTTCCTAAAATTAGCAAAAAATAAACGGTAAGTTTAAATCAAGATCAAAGTTAATCTGCATTGGTAGAAACGGATATTAAACATTTATTTGGTTCAATCGAGATTAAACACTTATTCGGTGCTAGCCAACGGTAAGACTGGCTAATTTTTTTCCCAGAAGCACAGATAAATCATCGGGGCGATCTGATAAAGCCAATGACGTCTTTACATTAAAAAACCGCCTTAGTGAATAACGATCAATAATTTTTCTTTTTATTGAATTTATTAGCGAATTATCGCAAACAGGTTGTTTACACGGACGGTAGCGCAGACGTCACAGAAAGAATCGGAACGGGAGTACATATAGCGTTCGAGGAGCGGGGTGCGCTATCTGGCGTATGTATCAGCGTCGACAATTAACAATCATTGCACGCACTTAGCCGCGAGCGGCGCGGATAAGTCACGTTGCTACGTAGAATTTATTATTATGACGAAGACTCTACCATCTCGCGCGCGTATGTGCGCGTACAGCTTGCTACGCGAGAGCGCGCGAGTTACGCGCGCCGCGGCGATCGCCGCCGATCGCAAACCGTTCTCCACACGCGGAGAATATCGGCGAGCCAATAATCATTAACCACGCACGCACACCGGCGCGCGCCACCTTGCACTTTTGCAATAAATAAAAATCAGCCGCAATTAATCGGCGTGAGATATGCACGCGGGAGACCTTGGATGCCACGAAAGAAAAACCGCGCCACTTCTCCGCGACCGCTTATTTTTTCGCTTACCCCGTTATTACGAAGCGAGGCGTGTTGGCCGGTACGCTCTCCCGCCGAATTCCGTCGTTTTCAAGTGAGACTCTTTCTCGCGGGACCGTTCGCCAAACGAGCGACCGCTGTTTTCTCCCTCCCATTTTTTTTTCTCCTTTCACGCTTCCTCGCCTTTCCATTTTTCGTCGGAATATATGGTTGGACGCATACAGATTGAAATATTCGGCCGACTCATTCCTGAGAAATGGCGACTGCCTCTCTCGCTGAGAGGTGCCTCCATAGTGATCTTCGAAAATTCAAGTTCCCTTTCACTTCGCACCTTCAGACGCGTCACCGTGAGTTTCGACAACAATCGAGGTGTAGCAGAAAAAGAAAAAGGAGACCTTGAAAAGATATCGTATGTACAATTCACTCGCATTTTTCGAACATATGATTCTCTTCCGTGATATCAGTGGATCTTGACGTAATGTTCGCGAAGAATTGAACCTGTTAAATTTATTACAGCTCTACGAAATAAGAAAATATATTTGTTCTTGCTATTGTAATACCTATCGAGGAACAAAATTTTTCAGAAATCTCGTAAAAATACTTAATTTTTCTATGCTCATCCCTCCAGCAACACAGTAAATAATTGATAACAAATAATTTCCTGCGTAACAAAGAAAATATTCCGAGTTGAATTCTTTCGTTCTCCGCGGTCGAATAAGGCGAACAAGAAAAAGGCCCCTAGAGGGCCTTCTCTGCTATTCTCTTTTGTCTAGTCCTCCACGATCAGAACGTAGCGCGCAAAAAAGAATCCCTCGTGTTCTCTCAATCTCTTTCTGTCGGTCGTCCATAGCCGTAAGAATGAAGAGAGAGAAAAGGAGTACTAAGAGAGGAAAGGAGGTCCATGGTCTCAAGAAGGAAGTAAGAAAACGAGTTCCACGCGCAAATTCTCATTTCTTTTTATTTAATTTGCACAAAATTAACCGTTTATAATTCGCACACACAATATATTTTTCCGTAGAACACAATTTACGAGCGTGAAATAGAAGAGATGTATATCTCTTATTTTTGAATTATATTGGAAAAGTGAGAATATAACACGGGAATAATTCGTGTTAATTTTTAAACATTTGAGAAGGAACGTTACTTTGATGTTTCCTACCTAAGCACCTTAGCTAAAGACCGATTCAAAGGGAACCGGTTAAGCTGACTTGCGTGGGTGCGTGATATGAATGAATACATATGACAGGTGATGCATGTTATCGGTATAAATGTTCGAGAAAAGCGCAATGTATTTTATCCGCCGTACAACAGTTCAATATAATCGCGCCTAACGCTTCGCCAACTATATCGGACCCGTATAAAAATCTATCGATACGTGAGAGAGTTCGATGCACCGCCATCTCTATGCCGGGAACGTGCAAATATAATATATTTAAATGTGCGTGTCGCGCAGCGTTGAGTTATGGATAGAGATAAAATATTGAAAAAAGGCACGTGTCGCTCGCGGCCAATTCCTTTGTCTGACATTATTAAATATTCGCCGAGACTTTATTTTAATCTTATATAAAGTGATTATTTCGCCGTAAATGAATGGAGCAGGGCGTGAATCGATGATCGCGGTCCATATGTACGTCCTATAATTGTCAGCGTGTAAAATGGAAACGGTATGTCTGTCTCTCCTCTCTCGGCTGGCTCGTCCTTTTAATTCAAGTTCCTTCCAAGAGAAGATTATCCGTCAGGACGGATTGATCCATCTTAAATTGAGAACCTGTCTCGGATTTCGCCGTCGGGCGAGCAACCGTGAACGAGTTTAAGCCGTGGAATAAGTAGCTTAAAGGGAGCGCGAGGAGAACAGATCTTCGCTTTCGACAAGTTTCAAATCGACCGACTGATTGTGAGTTTTATCCCGACGAATCGCGCGCTCATCCCGTACTTATAAGTAAATGTACTCGCGATACATTTTAATCTGATATATAAAAGCAAGAGTGTATTTCCTCGATAATTAATATCGCGTTTTATCGAAATCTCAAATTGCATGTTGTGCGCGCGAAACGCATGAAAAACCATGACTATCTAGAAATAAATCGCCGCGACGTCAATGAACGATGAATAAAATACTTTTATGATAATTATAGCTCAGAGCTGACATAAGATCGTATACATATGAATTACTGTATCAGTGACAGCAGGAAGAAATGCTGTTATTTCATGCGTACCTAATTTATGGTCCATTTCCTGCCACCCCAATTTGCGCAACGCGATACGACTTAATATACTCCTACGCATTCCGTCTTTTCAATTAGCCAAACAGTACACTGAGATAGGTCCCGCTCGCCCGAGCTAATCGATCGTTACCGGATCGTATACCACAACGACAACGACGACTTTCCTGCCATTTTACAAATAACGCACGACAAACAAGTCCGCTGCGCCGATCGATCACCGTCTCTCCCTCGAATCACCGCCGCGTTTAACCGATGTTATCGTCGACCGGCGTGTTTCTACGCCATGCTAAAATAATGGATATTAATAACGTCCGCGAGAGACATCACGGTACGACCTACAAACACGAGTATTTTTCGTGATTCCGTAATTTGCCCGCGCGTGGAAATTTATGAGGTTGCTCCCACGCGGAAAGGCACTCGGTGCCCTTATCTCGAGGCGGTTCCGTCCGGCGCCGGAGACCGATGCGGTTTTTTCCATATCGCGGGTCGCGCGTCGGGAAATTATAATGTTCTCGCGTGACGACTTCACACGTCGCTGATCACCGTGTTTTCCGTCAATGGGACGCGCTCGGGCAAATATAATCCTGTCCCACGTGCAAGTCTCCGTCGCCGCGGTAACCACAATGGCGATCGTCTAATGGCGAGGAACCGAGCGCGCAGTGCACCGCTCGAGGGCCGCGGCGGCGTAATCTATGTTAATGCGCCGGCGGAGGTGGTTGAGGTATAATAATAGTGTTTTCGAGGATATGACGTCACACC